GCATAGGGAAATGAGCAAAAAAAGGTCATCAGTTAAATCTTAATTAGCTAAGTCCAAACTCAAGCTTGCTGGTAACAGACTAAGTTGTGTGAAATTGCATTAGGAATTAATTGGTCCCAGTGCTTCAAGCCTAGTTGAATTTTGCATCTCATGAAACGCCAAGTAAAACATTTTTAGTCATTACTATGTTTTGTCTTTACCATTACAACTTACATCTGTTTGCTGGAAAACAATGCATAAGGGAGGATGCTTGAAAGTGTATTGTACCTTTTCCAGCTAAAGCCAGTGTGTTTCAAGGCTTCTTCAGCTAAACAATCAAGAACATAGCACACTTGCTCTCCACAACCAGCCTTTAATTTTGAGGGAGGAAAATCCACAGGCCTTCCCTAAAATAAAGAGATGTGCTGTTTATTAATGGCCCATTGATCCGAGATTCCTCGCAGGGAGATAAGATCTTCTTACACTAAAACCAAAGTGTCTCTTGTGTATGAAGATTTTATTAATGTTAATTCACATTCTTCCCTTACGCAGCTCCAGTCAGGCAACAGAAGGGAAGAGAAAACATCCCAAGGAACAGATGCAGTGTAGAAATCTTAAAGCACGTGGTAATGAGGATACTAATAAGGAGCAGAAGAGTCAGAAGCCACAAGAGAGATGGATGGTCAAGCACCAAGTGACAAGCTGGCAAGGTAAGAACAGCTATGGAGAAACTTCAGTACTGAGACTTAAATACCAGCTTTTCAACATTGTCTTGTTTGCTCCAGATTTTATTTATAAAATATTTTTATTTATTGCTGTCCTGTAGAATAAAAATATTAGTTTGCTATGGTTTAACTCCTTTAGAGAATAGTCTTAACATCATTCACAGCTCCACTGTAGTATAATCTTCCCTAAGATCATACTTCCGGTAAGTTGATATATTCTCCTGACCTTTGTTTCTGTTAGGTTTTTTTCGGTTTTTTTAATATTGAAAAAAAATCCCAATACTTCCTGGCAGTTTATACAACCTTTTACTCATTAACAAAAAAAAGAAGAAAACATGAACACTATTCTAAACCATTTCCTTCACTGTGAATTATACCATTGATTATGGCAGGAGCAGGATCACATGCACTGTGTAAACTTTCCAGACAAAATCTCTGTAAATTATGCTACTATAAATGAGCAACATATGTGGCACTACAAAAAGTAAACCCAGTTTAATCCATTTTGTAGAACAAAAGTAATTGGAATCATATATAATATTATAAGACCATTTTCTGCAGTGCTAAAAAATTAGCAAGTACGTATAGATTGTATAAACTTCCAATTAACTGAGTAACATAGTAGAAACTTATAAATAGGAAAAGTCTGTCCGGTCTTTGCAAACAAAAGCAGGGAGGAGAGGAAGTGTGTGATTGCAGTTCTTTCTGAAGGTGATGCCCATGTTTGACATATGCCTGGGAAAACAGCCTGCTCGACACTTACAAACGACCGCAGTTCCGAGAGCACGTTTGATATCACTGCATTGGGGTCATCGCATTCCTGGGGCTGCTCGAAGGGACGTCCCGCTTTCGTGATCAGCCAAGCAGCAAGTGTGCAAAACATGAAGAACTGCTCACCGGGGTTGGTGGGCAGTGCAAAGTAGTGCCTGTTTAAAAAGCAGAAAGACTAGCAAATATTTTGAGCTCCTGGAGCTCTTACAGCATTACAGGCCAGCATACACCACAGAGCAGTTTCTTTACCCGACTTTCTCAATGAGTAAGGATGCCTCGTTTCACACATAATCACAGCAGACTAAGTTTGCTACATCCAGCTCACTTGTTTCCAGCTTTGAGTAAGCTATTGATCAACATTAACTTCCAAGGAATCAAATGGAAACTGGGTACTCCTCTCTCCTGCCAGCACCATTATATAGCCTCGGTTAAACACCACCAAATTAGCATTTCCACACAAACCCAAGTTACTCCTCTTGTTTGAGGAGCAACCTGGAGGAGTTGTTTACCTGAACAGTCTCAAATCATGATAAACTCAATTCTGTTACCATTTTAGAGATGCAGAATCCCATCACTTCATAAAAATACTACCACGATGCAATAGATCCATTCAAGTATCCCTTGCATATCATAAAATACTTGGAAGTTCAAAAGAATCCCAAGTCAAAAATCTGCAATTGCCAATAGCTTGTACAAAGAAAGGTATCTATATTTGGGTATATGACTATGCCTCTTTAAAAATAAGCAAGTAAACAAATAAATAAAATTTGCACCAAGTGACCATATGCAAACCTGAATGGCACTCTCTTGTGGAGGGAAGAACAAATTTATGGAAACTTCACTGCCTCACGAGATGTGTCTTATTTCTACATATTGGCATTATCCCTGCCATTATTCCACAGCAACATCACCTCCCTTCTTAACATCCCCAAATTCTATTCTTGACAACAGCAATACATCCTATTCCTTTTATTCCAAGTTCCCCCAAGCACTTGCCCTTCATACATTCCTCATGAGTGGCAAGAAGCTGATGTACCTAAATCAGTGCACTCAGCTCAGGTCAGGAGCACGTTTTGAAGTGATCCTTCTACCCATCCTCACTTACTATGCCTTGGGTTGCTTTGGAGGGCAACCTAGACAAACCAGATCTGCTTTGGATCGCACTAAATTCAAATATATAGTCTTAAGAAGAATTCAGTCCGTAGAACCAGACCACAGTTAGTCCCCCAAAAATGTAAACCACATATGCAGTAAATCACATACTCAGTAAACCATGTTCACACTGGCAACTCAGGACCAAACCCTTCTGTTTACAGACACAACTGCTCACTACAGTACACAAAGGTTTGCTTCCCTGCTCCAAACATTCTGATGGTCTGACAGCTCACTAGAACCAACTTACAGCCGCTGTGCTCGTGCTTGAGCCTCCTTCCCAACAAGGGAATAATCTGGACTGCCTCTTTTTCCCCTACCTACCAAAATGTTGCTTATAGAAAGCTTAACTCTGTGACACGCTGCTGTGGAGCCTGGTTGAACCTGACAAGATGGATTTGAAAGTTATTTGGGCAGATGGATGCTGGGAACGTACTGGTCCCATTTCCCAAGTTTCCTGCCTCTCTCTATAATTAAAAAAAAAAAATAATTACATATGAAACAAATATATACTGGATATGAAAACCCAGACTTAACAAGAATGGATCCAAGACCCTTTTTGTACAGGGTAAAAAAATATACACTCACCACAAATAGTTACTCTGAATTCAAGAATTATTTAGAACTACTTAGAACTTAGGTAGAATTAATTTTTGCACAGATACCTTGGCATGCAGCTATCCAGTACCTGCCAGGGGCAGGGAAGGTCAAGTGCTATTTACTTATCACATCTCAGCCTTCGGCGTTTTGAAAGCTTCCAGATGACACGGGAAGCTGTGCCTCTGGCTGGTTTTGCCTCGAACCAGGACCTGGCTGGACCTGCCAGCCGGGGCCTGCCCTCCTTCCTTCCCTGGGCTCTGACTGCCCGCTGGGATTTCTCCCCCGCCGACCCCCTCCCGCTGCCGCGCGAGTGCCCGGAGGAGGCGGCGCGGGCCAGGAGCACCTGGAGAGCGGCCGCATGTTGTGGCGCCTCAGCGCCTCCTCCTCGTAGCTCAGCAGCTTCAGCTTGTCCAGCAGGTCCTCCATGAGCACGAACATGTGAAAGGCCGCGCCGGGGCCGCGCTCAGCCAGCCCCTCTTCCGCCGACCGCTCCCCTCTCCGGCCCACCCCGGCTTCCTCCGCCATCTTGGTTGCACGTAACCCAGGGCAACCGGGGTCCGGCCACGCCCCCGACCAATCAGCGCGCACGGGGCACAGTAACCCCGCCCACCAATACCATATTTGGCAAAGATTTGCGGGAGCAATTCCCGTGGTTTCGTCAGACTAAAGTTTTAGGCTTTCCCGGTTTAATACAAACTTCCCAGTGCTTCACGCGGTGCCTGCGCAGGGCGGGCAGCACCTTGTGGCCTGAGGTGCGGTACTCTGCAGCTGGATGTGTGGAAGAGTAAGTCTTGGGAGCTGAGGAGCTGTAGCGGGAGACCAGCTGCGGTCGCCGGCTGGAAGTGCCGTGGGGCGGTGGGGAAGGGAGCGGGTGGGAAAGCTGGGACTCCCGGGAATGTGTTTGGCACTGGTGAGGCACTTCGAGTGCTGTGTGACGTTCTGGATTCCTCAGTTTAGGGGGGACACTGAGGTGCTGGAGTGTGCCCGGAGAAGGGCGGTGGAGCTGGGGAAAGGTCTGGAGCACAAGTCTGATGAGGAGCAGCTGGAGGAGCTGAGGGGGCTTAGCCTGGAGAAGAGAAAGCTCAGGGAGACCTCTACAACTCCCTGAAAGGAGGTCGTAGCCAGGTGGGGGTCAGTGACTTCTCCCAAGCAACTAGTGACAGGACAAGAGGACACAGCCTCAAGCTGCACCAGAGGAGGGTTAGGTTGGACATTAGGAGGAATTCAGAGAAAGTGTTGTCCAGCATTGGAATGGGCTGCCCAGGGAGGTGGTGGAGTCACCATCGTTGGAGGTGTTCAAGAAACGCCTGGTTGCGGCACCTTATTCACTAGGTGGTGATCAGTCAAAGGTTGGACTTAATGATCTCAGAGGTCTTTTCCAACCTAAATGAATCTGTATTCAGTGAATGTAGGAAACACACCTCACCTGTGAACTGCTAACACCAGACAAGGTCTTTGAAGAGAGACACCTCTTCTTCCAACTTCTTCCTGCATTTTGTTTGGGTTTTTTGTAAGCCCTCTTCCCAAAAATACTCCAGTTATTCTGTCAGTTTCTCCTACTGGAGACCAGATAGCACATGCAGGGCTTGAGCTGTCCAGAGAAAAAGAAGCACTAGGGAAATATTGTTAGAAAATAATCACCTAACAGTGCAGGCAACACAAGGCACCTACCTCTTGTTTCACATTACCAGCTTTCTGAGAAGAGTGTCATGATGATTTCAATCTTATATTCTTGTTTTCCTGTGCCCACACAGAGCTGACCTCGCTCCCCATGCCAGTGTTCTGGCACTGTAAGGGAATTGTCGGTCTCGCTGCTGCTGCGGTGCTCTGGCTCTCTGGATGCCCCAGCACATTCCCAAGTGGGATCGCCACTGCTATAGGTTTCACATTACTGATGAGAACTGATTTCTTCTCAGTTGCAGCTTGCAGGAATTAAAAGCCAGGCAAAAGAAATGGTTAAGAGAAAAAGTCTTTTAATCCCAAAGAGGGAGAAAGGAACGCGAAAAGTGTGAAAGCTTCACATGTATAGAAACTTAGTTTGCATTGCAGAAACAACTGCTTTCCTTTATGGGAAAGGAATGAACTGTGCCATGTGTATGAGGCAAAGATCAACAGGGAGTGCTGTATATTTGGTTTTTTATATATACCAGCCCTACCTGCTAGTAACGGCAAGACGACTTTGATTTTTGGCTGCTTGTGAAATAAGAGGAGGTAAAAAATCCCTGACGTTCTTATGAGAGCTCTATAATGTAAGTGTACAGAGTGGGGGAGGGTGAGAATATGATAGGTGTATATTGAGCTAAAACACAGTATTTTTGGTCTACTTCCTAAACCAGTTTTGAATGTTTAGATTGTGGGAACCTTCTTCCATTGAGAATATTTCTCAACAAATGAAGTATGAAGTTAGTATTTAAATTGTAAGGGTTTCATTGAAGGGAGATAGAGAATTAATTCTCTTTTCTATTACAGAAAATGCCTCTGAAAAGTCAGTGAGGAAATCCTGAAAAGCTAGTGTCATTATTTCAGGTATGAGATTTTGGCAGTGTGTGATTAATATGTGTTTTTTAGAACTTTACATGTTTGTTTTTCTTGTTTGCTTGTTGGTAAAAATTGAAACCCTCTGGTATTTCCAGTCCTCATAAGTGTGTGTGCTTGAAATGTGGTGTTGTATAGTTACCTTGAAAAGGAATCAGTCAGAATCAGTTTTACTAATAAATAAATAAATTTTGTTTGACAGGGTTAGAAGAATATTTCTATATATCTGCTCTCAAAGTAGGTCACAGAGTAAAGTTCACTGAGCTGATTGCTCTTTGCTAGGGGAGTGGTCTTACCAGGTTTCAGATTGAATGAGAGTTCAAAGAGGAGGAAAGATTTAGGATATGTGGTTTGGTCACTGTTTAACAGAAGAAAAGGAGAGCATGTATTCTTTCCCTATAGTGACCAAAGCAAATGGCCTAGTGGCCCTACCACTATTTGAGCTGTTCAATATGTCTTGGGAGATGCATTTTAGCACCTTGGCTTGCTCTCAGAAACCCTGGCTGAGCTGCTTACCAGTTGAGCCTGTGGTGATTCTGTATGAAGTAATTCTCCTGAAAACTAGAGCATCAGTAACTAACATGACTACAGTGATCTTAATTCTAGTTGTACACTGTCTGTATACATAATTTCATATTTCACTGCAAAGCCTTAGGGCACGATTTCTTGGTTGTACCATTTGTTTTGTGTAACAAACAGGAAAAGCATGTTTGTAGAGTACTTTGTAGTGTGACTCTAACTATTATCATACACACACTTTATGCCTGTAAGACCCCAGACCAGCTGAAAAGACTGGCCAGAGCCTACACTTCCCAGGTTTTTCTGCAGACCAACAAACATTTTTCTCAATATAGTGCAATGGGAAAATCCAAAGCTAAGATTTGTGCTGAACATGAAAATTTTCAGCTGACTAGTTGTAGTTCTGTATTTTAGAGCAGGGTTATTGAGTACAAGTAGAAGATGGGAGGCAGTGTTTGCTGCCCATGCAGCCCCCAAAGGCATCACAGAGGTACTGTTGGAACTACGTTACTCTGAGACCGTCACTGCCAATTAAATGTGACTGTCTATTAAACGTGGCACATCACTCACTAAGGGAAATATAGCATTGATTGCAGTTTTTGAAATTCAAACATCAGGCACAATATGTTGTATCAATCACAAGTTGGAAGTGATGGACAAATGAGTGAAGAATCCAATGAAACATGATGTACACCACTTGCAAATGGAAGGAGAAAAGAAGGTGGATACTGGCAGCTGTTGCTGACATGGAGCAAAGTTATATATCATAAATGTTTGGTTTACTCTTGCGTCACCTCTGTCTCAGATTTAATATCTTGGTGCCTCTTTGTTGTTTTTGGTTTGGTTTGGTTTTTTCTCCTAATGAATAGTGAGAATCCGTAAAACAATCACTGTAACTTTACAAAAGAAATAACATGCAAAAATCATTGGGATGTAGGATTTACGTTCACCACAAATACAGTCACGCACTAGTCAAAATCATTCATTAATATTAAAAGAACTGGCTAGCAAGCTTGGCTAAACTTGTGCCCTGTGTAAGTTAGGAATGGTACCTATAGCTGCCTTTTGAAGAGAAGAAAAGGACTAGGGAAAACTCTTTAAACTCTTTTCAAGCTATTTGATTCGTGAGGTAATTTCTCCACTGTGGTGTGCTGTATTTTAGGATGTTATGCCTGAATGGAGGAAGAGTGCAGTTTATCAGTTACAATAAGATTATTCTTTTTCTATTATGCATGAGAGCCTTCAGTTCATTGCTATTTAATTGACAAACCAGAAGATATGATGAGAGACTCTCCTCCTCCTTTGCATTCCTACCCTACACTTCTATATATACATTTTTGAAAGTTCAGCTGATGTCCTTTTGATCTGGTGAAAAGTAAAGTGTGAAAAGTTCTCTATATCTCCAATATTTGCAAATACAGTCAAATTTCCCATCCAAGAAAGTCAATGTGGTAGTAATCAGTATTATATTTTAAGTAAAAAAAAAAATCAGGGTTGACAAGGGACATATTACATCCTTTTGCAAATTGTACTTGAGCATTTTTCCTTGGTGTCCTGTTTAGAAACAATGATGATTAATATTCCCTAGCCCTGCAAGAACACTGAGAGTAAACACTTTCTATTTATTACAAATGCAATATCAATCTGCAAGGGACTGCAAGGTAATGAGAGGCCCTCAGCCATTATGAAATGCATAGGATCATAAGGCCAAAAATCTGAGCCAAGACTGTTGGAAACAAAAAACATGGTACAAAGGCCTAGAGTTCCTAATAAGATGTACAAAGGAAATGATATCATCATGGTATGACTTTTACCTGCCTTTAAACAAGTTTTCTTCCCTTCTTTTATGTTACCAGTTTGACATGAGTCTACTACGAACCAGTGGAGACCTGAAGGGACAGAACATACCAACTCTTACCATCTATTTATTTTACATCAGTGCTACACTTTGGGGTAAGTTTTAGCTGAAAAATAATAAAGACAACAATTATTACTTATTTCTAATAGGGAGAATTAATTAATTCAAACACTGTTTATTAACGGCAAAGAATCGAGGAATGTGCAAGGAATGCACACCCGAGTTATCTCTGGGGGCTGGGGCAGAGCTCCCTGTCTGTGGTGGCAAAGCTGTTTCAAGAAGTTCTGTCCTTTCTGCCAGTTACATTGTCACGTCCTTTTTCCCTGTGATGGTACAACTGGTTGGCACCATGTGAGGGTGGTTGGTAAGGTGGGTCATTGCAGCATGGCACTGTGAAGGTATGAGGAAGCAGCAAGCTGCATCTCAGAAGGGTTTGAAGTTCAAGGTGGAAAAGGTGTGGAAATACATTTGAAGCTCAGGTGGTGAGGTGGCAGTGTGCTGATTTGAACATGTAGGTGCTTACTCAGGATTTCTACATAAACTGATTGTAAGTTTAAAGACCAGAGCTCTGTGTTATAATATTGATTAAACTGAATGAAGACCCTTTCTGTCCCAAGGGACTCATGCAATGGAAAATCCATGAAAGAGACCTTGACACACTGGGTAGTGCTGCCTGCAAGAGGTTTTTTTTTTTTGTCAGGGATAAGGAAGGGCAGAAATATACTTGTAGACTGGATTAAACTTACTTATTTGTACTTATGGACTTTAGGTTTTACAGAACAGGAAGAAGTTACAGGGCTGTTTTCTGAGGATTGCATCCTTCCTTGTTCTTTTCCACGGGGGGATGATGTTGTAATTCACTGGAGTAAAGGAGGAAAAACTGTGCACTCCTACTACTACCAGAAGGATCAGCCGGCAGATAGCTCAGAATACATTAACAGAACACAGCTTTTCCATGAGAACATCACTAGTGGAAACGCCTCCTTGAAAATTTGTAACCTGACCGTGACTGATGAGGGCACTTATGCATGTTATGTGGGAACAAAGCAAAATCGTACAAACCAGAACGTCACACTACGTGTAAAAGGTCAGTAAGACATCAAAAATGCTTGGATTGCACCAGTGGAAATGGGATGATTTTCTCGTGTTATTTCTCACATGGAATCAAAATCCTCCAACCCAATAGAGCACATTTTGGGCCTGATGGTGTTATGAAGCAATTTGTTTACTCTAGTGAAACACTGTAACATGAGTTGAAAAATTACAGTGCAGCACTTGTTTTCATAACCTACTGCACAGTGATTTCTAAGGGGTTATTAGGTGGTATACATTATGGGTCTTCTCAGAATAGTATAGACCCTGGCATTGACAGTAAGTCGCTATGCTTTCTTCTGAAATCAAACACACATTAAGTGTTGTTCTAATTATTCTCCCCAATGTTATTTCACAAGAGCAATCACTTCAAGTTAAAAACTATTTTGAAAGTAGTAAGATTTATTTTTTTAAACTTTTTTTTTTCATCTACAGTTTCCTCTTATTATGCACTGGAATACCAAAAGACAGACACAGAAAGGAAACTGAAGTGCTATGCCTTTCTCACTTATCCAGCACCAAATATATCTTGGGTACAAGGTAATATATCCATCCAAGAAACAGATCGTGAGGAAACCAGGGATGGAGTTCTCTATTCTCTTAGAAGTGACCAGAACATTATAAACACAAGAGCAGATCCTTACTACTGTCATATTCATGTCCATCGTTTAAACTGGATTGCTGAATGGAAGATGCAAGGTAGGAATGAATGGAAGTCTCTTCCTGCATCATTTCTAAATGTCACAGCTGGCTTCAGAGCCAAACTGAAGACAGTATTTCTGCAGTGGGGCAACATGGATATGGGATAGCACAGAAGGATATGCCTTTCTCTTTGAAACTCATCTATTAGGATTACAAAGCAGCATTACAATTTAAATCCAAGAAGTAGAAATGAGAGGGGCTAGCTCACTCTTCTCTAAGTTGCTTTTACTCTGAATATTTCTTCCATATCAGTTTCACATTTTAAGAGGTACCTAATAAATAAACTTTACAGTCCAGCAAGGAAAGAATGAACTTGGACAAAATACACAGAAATGTATGTGGAATATGTGGGTTATATGAAAGTTTGCCTGCTGCTCTAGATGTGTATGGTCCTTACTCAGTCCATTTCCCATCTTTTGCCAGACTTTTATCAGTACTGTTTGATCCTTCCACTGTATGTGCATTCTTAGGTGCCAGTTTGAGTGCTGGGCTGAGAGCAGCAAACACTGGATTTTAGCAAACAGCAGCTCATTTTGTTAGTTAAGGAAAATCAGGACTATGAAATTTCAACTCTCTGTTTTGTCCTCCTGAATTTCATTGGAAATTCAGTTCGAGTAAATAAATGGTTCTTTTCAACCTCTCCTGTATCTTAGGAAATATTTTTTAATTGGACGAAGAGCAATACAAGAGCAGTTCCCCTGTGAGATGTGCATGGCTGCTTCCATCACCCTGATTTCCCCCTAACATGTACCCAGATGCTCTCAGTTCCTAATCCACTGCATGTGCTTCAGAACAAGAGCGCAGTTTTTAATACATAGAATGGCTTACAATATGGAGAGTTTCAAGTATGGCATCATAGTAGCTAACAATTGCACTGTAAGTGTTTGTTTTGTTAATCTGTGCCTCTGATCCACGAGAGAAAAAGCTACATTTGGTTACACTTTTATTTGAATTTCCCTGCATCCATCTATCCCCTCAGTAGAACATATTGAAAGCAAACTGCTTTACTTTTCCTTCTGTAAGAGTAGTGTGGGGTACAGTTTTGTTTTGTTTTGTCTTCATGATTTTCTGCCCTACACCTCTCTTTGTTCAGCCCTACACACAGAAACCAAGCATAGTTATACCACGTCAAAATAATGTATTAGCTTCCTCTCCAGCTGACTGCCAGCCACCACAGCCTCCTCTGGTTTTCCTTTCTTGGCAGAAAATCCCTGCTGTTAAATTGATAGTTGTGCTATGGTGCTTGTTTGTCTTATCTTAATATTTTATAATTTAGGTATTCTTTCCACTTACCTGCCTTCTCCTTCCTCTTCTTGTTTTTTTAAAGCTATTCATTAACTGTTAAATGTTCAACATAGACAAGTAAAATACTTAAGTCCACTGTAGCTGAAAGCTATTTATAACTAAATACAATGTTTTTATTCTTTTATTAAATTATATTGTAAGAGTTTTATCCTTTTGCTTTAAATGTGCAAGTATCTTATTAGTTGCATTTTCTCTCTGCTCCCAGCATGTGGGATTTCATGCTACTTTACACAGTAACTAAGACTAGACTGAATCACTTCTATTAATGAGCCCCCCAATTAGAGGAGAAATAGTCAAATGAAAAAGAAAGAATTTTTTTTAAGTATTTCCAATACCAATTAGAGTTTTTCTTAGTGTAAGATAGGTTTGTTTTTAAAATCTTCAGATGCTTCTAGAAACATACTGTGATATTTGAATATGATATCAAAGTAGTGAACTCTGTATCTATATTTGTCCGTAGTAGTATTAGACCTCATAAAAAACCCAGAAAACGTCTAAATAACCTTCAGAGTATTTCCAAAATAACCTGCAGAGAGTTCTTTAATTATCTGTTTCAGACCAACTGTCTAAGACAAAAGGAAGTAACGCTGTAATTCCTTGTGAATACATCAATAACACTGCAAACACTGAAGGTGTCTATGTTGTTTGGAAATTAAACAGAAATTCAGTGACTTCAGTCCTGGCCTCCTTCAATGGTACATCCCACTCTTACCAGCCTCGAGCCCAGATAAACAGAAGTGACTTTTCATTGATCCTGCGTGAACTTACTGCAGCTGACAGTGGAGAATATCTGTGTAATATTTCAACACCTCACTACACAAAAGTTATTGTGACAACTTTGCAAGTTGGTAAGTTGCCACTTCTTTCATTTCAGAGGATGAGGACCAGGTAGGGTAATGCACAGCCGAAGAGTCAATTGGAAATCTGTAAAATATTGAGAAAAATCATCTTGTATAATTGGTACAGTTGGGTAGAAGAGATATTTTATTATTGTTGTCCCAGGCAAAAAAAGGTTACCTAAGATGTTTTTATTTAAAAACTAGACATTTCTTATTTTTCAGTCAGCAGCTTTTTTGTGGCCAAGGTCTCAAAATTGGTGGCTGCCTTCAGTTGCCACCAACTGCCCTCAGAGCTGAGGGGACAGGGGGACTCTCAGAATCCTGTCCTAAATGTTCTGCTTACAGCAAATATGGCTTTAAAGGTGGCAGAGGGATGATGGGAAGCCCAAAGACGTGGTATAAGTTTGGCTGCAGAAGAAACCTGATTGAAGAGAACACACAGTTGCTATTTTCAAAACTTTATTTCTACACTGTGGGCCTCTTTTAGGCCTGGGTATATATAAGTTTAAATGCATGCCTGTGTTTTTATGAACTGTAGTAAGTTTCCAGCTGTGAAGTCTTAGTTACAGTTTTTTCATTGTCAGTAGCACATAAAACAACAGTAGCACACAGGCTACTTTAATTTTACACAATTAAATACAATCACCTAAAAGACTGAGAACTAATATAGGGCACCTCATTGGTGTTTTTTAAGAAAGAAGAGAATTTGAAACAAGCCAGGACGTGAAAAATAGTGGCAACATAAGAGAAAAGGGGCTAGAATAAGTGACAATAACTGCATCTTTTTGTCTTCCTTTCTTCCTCCTCCCCCATGATAGCTTAGTTTCATTCTGAAAACTTGATGTTTTAAATGGCAGTGGCTATACACAACCTGAAGGAGGGGAGTTAGATTAAAGAAAACATTGAAGTCAGCCGAACATACTTCCCTACAGATCAAATTCCAGCATGATCTTCCTTATCCTGTAAACCTAATATTGCGCTTCTGAAGTGGAGAGCATTGAACACCTCCAAGGAGTCACACATTTAACTGGCTCTCCTAAGTTACATACACAAGTCCATCAGTCTCCCTATATGTTTACAGAGACAGTCCAAATATGATCAGAGTCATCCCCTACAAATGCCTTTCTCTGGCTGCTCTCTACAGATGGACCTTACAATAGCCATAGGTGATACAAATCCCCTCTTTAGTGGCGAAATTCCTGTGCTGCTCACAGAATCTTCCTGCTCTTGGACCAGAAATACATTATAGAGTACAGAGAAGACACCAGAGAGATTGGCACCTTTGTGGCAGCATAGGCAGAAAGCAGATAAGTGGATAGACAGCAGGGTGGAAGGGAACGAGACAGGTCATTATGTTGCAGAGCAGTCATGGCACAGCAGCTGCTCAAGCATCAGAAGGATTTCCAAGTGTCACTGGAAAGAAGGCTTTTAAGGGGAAAAGAAAGATGAATACACAATCATTTAAGAGGGTCTCTCCTGTGTAAGAAAGGGTTGCAGCTTAAAGCTGCTCTACCAGAGGAACTGACAAGATGTGGATACAGAGTCAAACTAGAGGCAATGACTAGGTTAAATGCTCTGTTTTAGCAGTTCTCATTTTTTAACTGTTTCCAGAGGAGTGTAGAATTTTTCAATTCTTTGGACTAGACACAGCAGTGGAAAGGTAGCCTGAAGTAGAAGAACCATACAGCTCTTCTGACAGTTTGGTGCCACACAGAGGTTTGGGCTAGATGGGCAATTGTGGAATCCATTGTTACCACCCACCTCAGGATTTCTTGTGTCCACCTGGATTGCATGGTTGCACTAAGAAGCTGGGAAATGTTTTAGATTGAAGTTGCAAAGATTTTGCAACAGAAGTCATGAAATCTGTGGTCCAGGCTGGATAACATTTACAGAGCTGCTCTACTGAAAATCGGCAGTGCCGTTAATGGCACTGACACAGTGCCTGGAGACAGTGTTTAATATACTGGGCAGTTGGTTAGTTTTAAATGGGACTACTGTTAAGAAGTCATCAAATCATATCACATCAGCACAAATGGAATTCTTTATCAGCACAATTAAGTAAAATAACGTGCTTTAGGCTATTCACGCTTAACTCAGTAAAGTATTGCTTTAAAGTCACACAGTATGAGTCAAATTACTTGAACGTTGTTGTCTTTGTCTCAGTTTCCTTTTAATGTTTCTTTCTCCCAAAATCATAGCTTTGATATAGTTATTGAACAATAGTGAACATTAATTTGTGATATAAAGCACTTCTGTTAAACTTTTTGTAATTTTTATTTTTAAAGGTAACACCTGGATAGGAGTGGTAGTAGGAGCGGTGGCGGTGGCGGTAGGAGGTGCAGTGGTGCTGGGAGCAGGATACTACGGCCTCTGTATCAAGGTATGTACAATCATTAGAGTATTTATTTTTTTAAGGTACTATTGATACTGAGCCCCTCAAGATTTGCATAGGGGTTTGAGTCAAACTTTGCAACTTTTTATAAAGTTGTTAATCAGTAGCTATAGCTTGACATTTATGATTAAGCAATTGCATTGTGAGCATCATGAGCTAGGATAATCTTTTGTTTTAAGAGACAGGGAAGACAATCTCAGGGCTGATTGGGCTGGCGGGATAGGAGCCACCAGGAGTGAAATCAGCAGAACTGAGCTGTCACTGGGGGAAAGGTTACCCCTCACAAATACTTTCCAGTAAGTTGCTTTAAGAACAATCAAACTGGTGTTTAAAACCAAAGAAAACCCAAACCAAAGCACAAAATCCCTCAAACAATTCATATACCGAGTCTTCATTAGGGCCCAAATTACTGTTTCGGTTGTATCCAGTGTCAAAGCTCATAAAAACCTCAGTTTGAAAAGTTATACTGCATTGCTTTGTTTTGGAGACTGTTATAACCATATGGTCCCTAATCTCATATCTTTGCACACCTCTCCCATTTACTGGAGTACAGCATCTTCAAGTGGATGCATTTTATTCTCATGCATTTGTTATAAGTTGGCTCTGTCTTAGAATATTCTGTCTTTTTCCTCTGCATTTGTTGTGAGTACCCTTAAGAAAAACAAACTTTCATTATTAGTCCATCTTTCTGTGCCTGACAGTACAGCCCTAGCCATGGAGAGATATACCTCCAAACTCCCTGGGTTTTTGTCACAGTCTGAATTTGGTAAGCTTCAGGGAGCATTTGATGATGGTTACCATGAGGTTCAGCAAGAACACATGATTATGCCTCAGGTTTTTTTTCACGTTTCTCTCACTTAGAGATTCACTTACATGCTTTTTAGTCAATTTTAACGCTAACATGCTTTAGAGATGAAAATATACTCTTGCGATGCAGCTCTCTAAAGAATTTAAGCAAGATTAATTTATCTTGGGACCTATTGAGACCTTGAACATACCATAATCAGAGGAAGTGGAACAGTTTACAGGGTAACTCAGCTCTGGTTCCATGGATGAAGGACTAGATGGAAGAAACAGGAATGTTTCTGCACTGTTATGTGGATGCTTATTTTATTTAGATAACGTTAAAATGGAAAATGGTGACTTACCTTTTCAGTGAGTGCATCTTGTTCTGTTCCCACTAGGGGATTAATTTTACACTTCAGTAGTTCTTACAAGCATTTTTGTTTTGCCTAGAAACAGAGAGCAGGAATCCTATGAGCTCCGTGTCCATGTCCTACCAGAAGAAAATGCTTCTCTGCGCACAGGTGCAATTGAAATTGTTGATGAAAAGGACAGAGTTCCTTCACCTTCCCCTTTCAGCAAGAGCCACATGAAAACATGATTCTCTGAGCAACAGTAACAAACAAAGGAAGTGATAGGAGGAAAAAAAGTCAATTGACACTTGTATGCGAGAAGTTGCCATGAAAAAATGGAACTTGGATTTCCTAAAGGAACAAAGAATTTTCCACAGAAGAAGAAATCCCTAAGTTTTGAGGGATTTTTTTTCAGTGTTAGGGAAAGAGAAGGCTTACTGTTTTTCATTTCATTTAGTATTTGTCCTGGGTTACACAAAGACTCTGGTATCCACCTTTTCTCTTTTCCCCAGATATGCTAATTTAGACTCTGGGGAGGGACTTAAGATAAGGAGGGTACTCTATTACTGTAGGAGAAGAAGGTATCCACAAGTGTGAAAAGACTGGGATGCTGATGACTCAGACAATCCAGGTGTGCACACCTTCCACCTCAGGCTAAGGGCTGGATGTTGTTTCTTTGTTCTCACACAAGGGACTCATCTGTGGTAACTCCTCTCAGGGAGGCATCAGGACAAATCACTGCACATGGCCTGAAGATATTCATCTCTGCTGCTGGCCATAGTGGATGCACCTGTGCTGACATAACTGGCAGCCTTAACATCTTAGAAGGTGTCAAAGGTTCTCCTGGAAACCCAAGGCAAGTGCTGTGTGCTGACAGTGGTGGAGAGAACCACTGGATGGCTGGAGATGCACCCTGCACCTCACTCCATTGCCCAGAACACTTCCTTGGGCCTTGAAAATCAAGTCCTGTGGGGACATGGCACCCCAGAAACAACAGCTACTTTAACAATCTGCATATGACATATGTGAGGCTGTGAAGCATTACTGGATTTGCCCTTGGTTTTGATTTTGTCAGAGATCTGACAATTAGGATTTGTTCTAGCATAATGAAGTGGGCTGCTGGCAAGATGTAATCTTTTATTGATCCTTGAGGCTTGGCAAAATAGAAACACAAATAAATGAATGAAATACGCTATAAAGTCTGTTTGGATTTTCACTTGATGTTTATTTCTGTAAGTGCTTATTTTTTTTCTATATCTGCTTTCAGTTGTGCCTGATTATATCAAGTATCTTCTCATATCTGTCAGCTTGGAGTGAACTTACTCCTCTTCATGAACCTGAAATGCAATTGAGTTAGTATACAACTGTTAAAAAGAAAATGAAAGTGTTGAGGGGTTTTAGGGTAAATTCACAAGTAAATGACAAAAGCTTCTATTTACTAATGCTTCTACTTCCTGATATTTTCAGTTTGTATCTGAAATAGAGTAGCAGCAATCTAGCCAACCTTTGCTAACAATACAGCTGTCTTGTCCTGATTCTAGATTATATATATCCCTTTGAGAGCAGAGGACTTCTATACAACCCTGTTTCAATAGATGGTGTTTCCAGGATAATGGGCACTAGTAGCAGTAAACAAGGCATTTCTAATGCTACATGATTAGAGTAGTCTCTACAGTGCCTTTCTCTCCCCAAAGATGTGTCATGACTTTTGGGACAACACTCACTGCCTGAACATGTTTCCTGGCAGCTATTGCTGTTACTGCCACAAAACCCTTTTTTTGGAGCTGACACCTCTGTGTGCACCGTGGAGCCCATCTTTTGGCAGTGCAACACTGCTATAAACCAGAGCTGGATTTGGTGTTGGCAAATAGCATCTGACTAATAAAACCAGACATCCACTGTTCTATGACTTTTGCAAATTTGAGGCAGAAAGAGGGTACTACTAAGATACAGGGAATAAACAGCAATCTTAACAGTATTTAAAAAAATAATTTACTCTCATGGTTTACCTAAATAGGTATGGTGTTGGTATGATGCCATGGCATCATATGTGAATCTGTGAGTTTTCATTTTTTTGTAGGGCTGGAATAATTTAAAGAAAAATCTAGGGAAATTTTTTACTCTTAAAAGCTGCAAATCTTCTTTAAGTTTCAGTTACAGTACTGCTTCCATCATATGTAAATGTGTGAGAGACCAGATATTCATGTAGTTTTAATGTAGCTGTGCTCTAGATGGTGGAGCAACAGTCATTTATATGAGCCAAAGGTGACTCTATTAGTCCAATATGAAATCAGAAGTTACAGTGTTCTCTGCCATAGAATGGTGGCTACAGAAGAGAAGAGGGGAGTGTTGGAATCACATGTGATAAAAATACCAAAATTATAGGGAAAGGTTTTTTTTCACCTCTTTCTTAACTCAGGAGTTGTTATCCCCATAAAACTTAAATAATGTTAAGCATGAAAGTTTATGTTTCACTTGCAAATGAAAGAGATAAAGCAATGAGCCAGCTCCTCTTTTTGTCATTCCTAGAAGTAAGAACCCTACTCTTTTTTGCCACAAGGCAAGCATAGATAAGCAAAGGTTTGCTTTCAGTTCCAGACCAAGAGCTTAGGTACCTTTTAGGTTCATCAACATTATTCTGCTACCATTCATATCAACTGCAAAACACCACAAATATATTTCTAGTAACTAATGACTTCCCAGTACGTAGGTGACTAATCACTAATATTTTATTTTTGTCCAGCTCTTCAAATCAGTACAAGTTCATTAAAAGAGCAATGTTAAAATATCTGGCAATCTGCTAATGGGGTAACCCCCCGGCTGTATTACATACATAGAAAGCTACAACAACAGAGGGAGGAAAATGTGGAGTCTTTTAATATTCCTTGAAAAAGAAAAACTCAAAAAAACGACCATAATAAACCCAACCTTCTGCTGCTGAGCACAGAGGTTAAATGACAACATCAAAAGGACAGAGAATATATTTTGTCTAAGTGTCAGATTGCTGTCCTAAAGGGTTATCTTAATGAAACTAAAAAAATGTAGTAAACAAGAATTTATTCCAGTCTATGCTATTTTTAGAGATGTAACAGATACATAGCATCCACTACTGTGTATTAAATAGTCTCATTTACCCCACACAGTATTACTGTACCTTTTTCATGCCAATATCCCTTGACTTGCTCCTCAGCTTATTAACCTGAGATTCAGCTATTTCAGCCCTTTCTTCAGCATCATCCAGATCATGTTGCTGTTTTCTGTACTTCGAGAGGTACAGATTGGCTTGAGCTTCCTGGTGAGAAAAAACAGTGCAGCAGATTTCCTCCTGTCCACATGAAACAAAGCTTTTCATTTGAAGTGGGATGGAAAGTGCTCAGCGGGATGAGTTAACAGCCATATGGGGACCACTTGCCTCCTGGAGAACTGAGATTGTTGTTTCACAGAGCTAATGTTTCCAGTGGTATTCTCCATTTTAGGTGAACTGTGAGGCTCTCAATGTGCTTTCTGAGGGGCTAGGAGGAAAAAAGTCTTTCCTATTCTTTCCCTTCCCCCCTTCCCTTGCAAATTATACTGCAATCATAAGATAAAATTGAATATCTTAACTATAATCAAAAATATGCCAAATGTTTTATTTTATATGAAATATAAATACAGTTTTATATACTGGGGTTTATATGAAATAAAAATATTAATGCACAAAAAACATGTATTTGTACTAGAAGCTTCTATGGATAAAAGACTGTGGATTTAGAACAGTAAATCTCTCAAAGGTAAAAAGGCCCAAATAGTTACTTACAGCTTCCTCTGCTTGGTGCTTGTAACTCTTCACTTTTAATTGTAGCTTGTCAATCAGATCCTGCATCCTGGCAAGATTCTTCTTATCTTCTTCTGACTGTATCAAAACACTGTTAGTTGGGCTGCTGGAGTAAAAAGGCCTAGAGCATCTCCCACAATGCATGAAGTATAGATGCCATGCATATTTTAGAAACTTATAACTCAAAACACAAACTAGCCATGTTGTGATCCTCCTGTATACAGATGAGAAAATATTCTGTAGGTTCATTGAAGATGTGTGTAAGCGTGGAGGACTGAAAGAGAGTACCCTCTGCATTTATATACATGTAAATATAGATACATATAAACACAGATATATGTATGCACACACTTTCAGAGCTGTACACATACATACACCCAGAGTTCCTCGCTCAGGGATGAAGAACACTCTGGTCATTATAAAGCGTGCTGTGATATAGGGAAACAGACTTATGGAAGAGTCTAAAACGGTAATTTGAATAATTTGAAGTCTGGTTTGGAGGCATTTCTGGCAAAAGGAGCCAGATTTCAGCTGTCACACTCAATAAGCAGAAGGACCAGCTAATTCTACTGGCTCACTGTATTCTAAGAAAACAATCTTCAGCTTCTGCGTACGAAAGTCAAAGTAAAACAACAAGTAGGAGGCTAAATAATCTAAAGCAGATGGATGGGTTTATCTTCTTAAGAATGCTGTTGGAAGCAAAAGGATCAGTGCTCTGTGCTGCAGGCCTTTTTCGAAACAGCAGCTGTTAGCAAACCTGCAGGAGGCTCAAGACTAGACCTTGCTGCTCAGCAATAGGTGACGGGGCCCTGGGACTGAGGAACCCTACACTGAGTGGTGCATTAGAGTCAGCAGAGTCCTTCTGGCTCCCTTTGGCAACAGCGGCACAGCTGAGAGACAGCTGGGCTCTTTCTTCCCTTGCATTGTGAATAGTCATCGAAGCCTGTTCCATATTAATGCTGTACTAAAACTCTCCAAATTCCCAGCGGCAGAGGCTTTCTAACACTAGTTACAACAAATCAGGCAAGAGGATGATGATTACTGGAACAGGATGCCCAGAGAAGCTGTGGATGCCCCATCCTTGGAAGTAGTGTTTAAGGCCAGGCTGGATGGAGCCTGAGCAGCCTGGTGTAGTGGAAAGTGTCCCTGCCCGTGATGGGGAGGTTGGAATGAGATGATCTTAAGGCCCCTTCCAAACCCCAACCATTCTATGCTTCTATGACGGTAGCCCTAGGGAGATATTTCTCCTATGCCTAAAGCTTTGGTTGTAATCAGAAAGCTCTGGGTAATGCCATCCTTTGCTGGAACACTGAGGCAATTTAAGACATGTTTCTTTCCAGTGACTTAGTGGTTACTACAGTCCCCAACATACCTGGTAAGTCAGCTCTTTTATGCGTCTCTCAAACTTGCGGGCTCCTTTTTGGGCATCTGAAT